CTTCCTCTCCCCATTGCTTCCTTCCTTTTTAAATTTCCTTTAAATTAAAGATGTTTTTGTCCATCTTCCTCTATTTCCTTCTCTTACCCACTTCCTTCTGCTGAATTTTTCTTTCCAACAAGTCCCCCTCTACTTTGGCGTCTTTTTAGTGTGTGTCTTGAATTGTCTGTATAAGCACAGAAAGGAAGTTTCTTACTGGAGCAGGAACAACTTCTCAGTGGCCATACCACTGAAGCATAACAGGACAAAGGTTTCTCCATCTTGTCTCAGCTGGAGTTATCTTTGGTTTAATTCTTTTTTTTTCTGCCACTGCAGTGAAGCCCCCTTAGAAAGCAACCAACCCTGTTCTAGAAACTCAGATTCCCAATGTGTTGGGCCCCAGGCCCCATGGGGTCTCTGTGAGTTGCTTGTCAGCCAATAACCATGGGTACATCCTTTTTTCTAGTCCTGGCTTGCAGCCCTGGCCTTGCCCATTGGTATCAACCACACCTGGGAAAACAGGACCTCTTAACACCTGGGGTTTTCCACTGTGCTGTAAGTCTGCATATAAGGCTGCTCCCTCCCTGCAATAAAGACACACACACACACACACACATACTCTCTCTCTCTCTCTCTCTCTCTCTGCACAAATGGGCAGATATCTTGTCTTTCGTTTATATCTCTAGGCTTTCTCCCAATACATTAGACTTGCTTGTGGTGCATGCTCCACAAGTGGAGGTCCCACCAAGACTGGGAAAGAAAGAAGACCCTTAGAGATCACCCTTGGAGGTGAAGGTGGATTGAAAATGGGTACCTCAACTTCTAGTTTCATATAAATCTCCAGGATTGTACCTGATTCCACCAAGATCGGGAAAGAAAGAGGACCCTGAGAAATCACCCTCGGAAGCTGGCCAGCAAGTAAGGATTTATGAGGGTGAATTGGAAAAAGAAACAAGGTACTGGTAGTAAGCGAAAGACAATGAAATATTTTATTTTAACTTTGGAAAAGACAAGACCATGGTTATAATGCTAAGATGAAATGGTGCCCCACATGGTTTACATAACAGAAACAGAGTGGTAGTAATAAATATATGAAAAAGCCATGTAAAGATGGAAAATACGCAGAGTCTGGATACTGTATGCTGTTGTGATGTCTTTGAATTGTCCAATTGCCAAGGAAGGAACAACACATGCTAAAATACACTTGATTATAAATGCTGCTGAATTAATCCAACTTATATATTTTGAAAATGCTTTGACTCCTAAATTTAAATATAAGAACAAGTTACTTGGGAAAAGAATTTCTGCTTTTGTTTCCACAGAAAATGAAAAGCTTCGGATTCCTTCTAGACTAATATGGTTTGATGAAGCAAGACCCCCTGAAGCAATAGCCAGGTGATCCAACATTGAAAACACCTGGGACGATGCAGTTTCAGACCACTACAGTCAGGATTTCTAGGTTTTCTTAGGATCCCCATGGTATTTCATCAGGAAGTAGTTTGGAGAGAATGATGCCCACATTCCCAAATATTGTATACTTTGTATTGGAATGGATTTTCATTGGTTGATGCAAATTTAAGGTAAATTTCATTATATGTATATTTATCCTCTTGTTTAGCTATTGTATTTCTATAGATCTTTTAAATGCAATGCAGCAGCCACTTTATCTGGGATTGCCATTTCACAATCTGTACAGCCAGCATGGTGGATAAACTGGCAAGGGAAGTAACAGAGGCTCTTAGCACTCAGAGCTCCATAAATAACTTAGTCCAGGTAGGAAGTTTAAATCTTAATCAGCAATTTATATTATCATAAATGAGACAGGGTTCCTCCATCCTCTGGAGAGACCCTCCTTAGGGGATTACAGATGGCAGGTTGTTTAGTCAAAGAATGGGCTGGGTCCCTATCTCTGGGCCTTGTAGCCATAGGAGTTATTTTCATATGCTTCATTTGGCAAAGGCACCCCAGTGCTAGACAAGCTCAGGCTCAATTTGTCACTTGATGGCTACAGAGAATCCTTCAGCTCAACTGTAGTTGAGCCTACAGAAAAATTATGCAGCCAATGATAGGTAAGACCAAGGGGATGCCAACCAACCTAAGATAGGAGGGCCATGCAGCCTGGGTAAGTTCTCCATTGACGGGTAAAGTTGACCACAATGTCCTGGTCACCTAACAGGCATTAATTTATATATAAAGAAGGGGAAGATGTTGGGCCCCAACACCCACAGGGTCTCTGTGATTTGCTTGTCAGCCAATAACCATGGGTACATTCTATTTTCTAGTTCTGGCTTACAGCCCTGGCCTTGCCCACTGACATCAACCACACATGGGAAAACAGGAGATCTTAACACCTGGGGTTTTTTCCACTGTGCTGTAAGTTTATATAAAAGGCTGCTCCCTCCCTGAAATAAAGAGAAGCACACACATTCTCTTAGCACAAATGGGCCAATGTCTTGTCTTTCATTTAAATCTCCAGGCTTTCACCCGACACATTAGACTTGATCATGGTGCAGGAATCACACCAATGCCCCAGATAACTGCATGTTTTCAGCTTCTTTTAAACTGCTTCCTTGATTGCCTTACTTCCCCTTGCAACTGCCAACTAGGATATAGCTTTTCTCTATTCTTTGACTTGAAAAACTACCTGTAAAATGCATTCCAGGAAAGGTTGCACTATGAGAAATATTTCTCTCTAGGCAGTCTAAAGAAGAATCACAATTTAGACTTTGGTCATGCCCAGTAATCTAAGGGTCTCTACTCTGCAACAGAGGAACATTCCATGGCACCCCATCTCCAGCTACCATTCACTGCCAAAAGTTCCTCGGGGAGAGATGGGACCTTGTCCATATTGACATATTAAGGCCCCTGTCATGGGAAGGTCTTATGCAGCTATCCATAAGTGAAGAGAGTTCTTGAATGCATCACTGCAGTGGCTTCATTAATGGAACAGCATGTATATCCAGAAGACATCATTTGGTAACACACCTATCCATCTTCCATCTCTTAGTTATGTCCCCTCTTTCATAATGCTCCCTGAGTCTTGGGGAGGAGTGATAAAGCTAATACACTTAGGGCCAAACGCACCTCTAAACTGTGTCTCTTAGTCTCATCTATATATTAACTGTCTTCTAGTGAAATCTATCTTCCTTCTTCCTTTCTTCCTTCCTTCATTTTTTCTTCCTTCCTTTCTTTCTCTCTCTCTCTTTCTTTCTTTCTTTCTTTCTTTCTTTCTTTATTTATTTATTTCTCCTCCCCTCCCTCATTCTCCTTTTGAGAGAAAGCCTCTCAATATGAGATCAGAGTGAACTTGAACTTGAAATATTCCTGTCTCAGCTTCCTGAAGTCTGGGGTGACAATCATATACTACCATGTTTAGATTACCCCATATATATCAAAATAAGGTTCTTATGGAAAATTCCTCCTCACTAACTAACTACAAAATAATCATTGGCTATGCCTTTGTCTACTAGCATTGACTAGCATATCATTTTCATTTAAATAGTACCATGTTCCAAGTCCCTGTAATAAAACACTATTAAGGAAATAAGTCCTCCTGAATTCTCCATTCTGAAGGACTTCACTGTGGGCAAATCATTATACTTTTTGTTAAGTCCGTCTCTGGGTAAGTTGCTGCAACCAGAAAACAGAATTATTGAGCTCACTTGGCACTGGGTGACCTCTCATCTTAATCCTCTTTTCTTGGCTGTGTTGACACATCCTTTCACTCATAAGCCCTGCTCCCCATTGCAGCAACTGCTGAAAGCCAAAGCAGGCAATTCTCAGAAAACAAGCAACTTATTTGTTTCTAAACATTCTGAGTTCACTTCAATTTCCATGCTAAGAAAATTCTCATGGAGTGCAAACACACACAAAACATTTATGATAAATATGATGAAGCCAACTTACAGGCATCTTTAAAAGGTGAAAATGGAGACAAGAAAATAATTGAATTTGTGCTAAGAAGCCTTCCAACAAAGTCTGAACCAACAAAGTAATTTAGGAAACATTCGACCTGACTCATCTGTAACTGGGAATGGAGGGTGTGGTAGGGTGGAGAGGAGTGCCAGAGTCCTAAGTGGGTTTAAGCTAAGGACGAAAACAGCCACATAAATTAAGTGTATCACATTTTTAAATCTATCAGACTGCATTTATTATTTTGGTGTTTTGGATGAAGTAACATTTAGCCACTCATTTCAGCTGGCATAAGAAATCCAACAGCACTACACAGAATCAAGGAAATCCCTTGATTTGATAGACTTCAGAGGTGGGTGTCCCTGAGTTTAAAGGGAAAGAGGTCTCTGCTTTTAGAGCAGTGGATATCTCAGTGTGTAACAGTCTAGTGAAGATGATAGAAAGGATATAATGGTGTAATTTAGAAAATAGTCCTACTGTCCCACCCAGTCTTGGAGCTTCTACATGCTAGGAGCTCCTCATTGGGGGAAGGTACTAAGTCAGGTATGAGGCACAGCTGACCCCTCTACAGCAATGGCCTCTGCATTATAACATCCAGTTTTTTTTTTTTTAAAACAAACCACAGACACACAGAAAACTACTTCATTGAGAAGTTAGAGAGACATGGAAAACCAGCAACTTTCGGGCATCAGTTTGAGTTCTGGCTACTTTCACAGTCCTATTTATTGCAGTAGAAAAGAATCATAGACTTGAAGCAACTCAGAAGACTCACATGTTAAAAAAGGCATATTGAAATTCACCTTTTACAATCCAAAATAAAGTTGTTCAATTTCAGTTTGGAAAGTTCCAAAATATAACAAAGTTATTTGTATTACAAAAAAGATTCTCAGACAACATCAACTTGTATTAACTAATGAATTCTCATTCCACCCTCCACCCCAGGGGCCTGGCTCTTTGAACATTACCTTCCTAGATAGACACTCAACTGCACCATGGCACATAGAAAAACTGTAGGATAAACAATACCTTGACAGAAGCAGTAACAGAAATACCCCAGATCTTTAAGTCTTCTTATCATGGACAGGTGCAAATTTAGATCTGCTACTCACCGCATTAAAATTGGGAAACAGGTTGACTGCTGCTGCAGTGTCAAGAGGAAAGGGGAGAAAGGGCTTAATATCCAATGATGGCTGCAATGGAGGAGCTGGCGGACGGACCAGGGCTGGGAGAGCAGGACTCTGGCATGTACCACCTGTAGAAACAAGAGCAAAGGGGATGATCAGGGACACCAGGCCCAGAAAAGAAAACATCAAGACCTTTGGGGTAAAAAAAAAAATCCCTCAAAACAAACAAACAAACAAAAAACCAAAACAGACCAGCTTTCTAGGTCACTGGAAAAAGTAAGACACAGAGTCTACTCCTCTCAGCTAAGATCTGGCCAGTGGATAGATAGCTTTGCCATTGGACAGCAAGAGGTAAGTGAGCAGCACCTTTCCCTGGGATAGTAACAACATGATTATGTAAGGATCAGTCAATATTTCCCCACAACTTGCTATTGTTTTATTGCCTGGAACTCCTATGCTCAGCACCAGTCAGCCCTGTGTCTGTAACCAAGCTTCCAGGCCAAGGGAAACACCCTACAATCCCACATTGCTCTCCCATTCCTCTTTGAAAACTAACCTGCTCAGAATATGCTACAAGTCTCAGTCACTATTTTGCAGAACTGCTCTTTTTCACCAACTCAAACTCTGGCAGAATAAAGACATGAATCTGGAACAGAAAAGAAACTGAACCACAAGCACAAGCAGCTGTACTTCCCTGCCCCAGTAACAAGAGGATTAAAAACAACAGCAAACCCACCACTACAACCCCAACAACCCTGAGCTGTTCAGCACCCTGGAGCTTTGACAATTCAAGAACTGCCTGTCTCCACCCAAGTCATGAGTGGGAGGAATTTAGACTGGCACCAATGAGCAGGCAATGAGAATATTACACCAACACAGATCCCCCTCTGCACACCGGCGGGCAGGCAGCTGCTTGCAAGGAGCACACAGTTCTGGTCGCTGCTTTCAGACTACCTGCATTTAAAAGGTGCAAGAATGGAAGCATAACTTCGATGTTCTGTCTCCCATATTTTGATAACATTCCAAAACATCAATTTTCCGTTAATTAAAGGCTGTTTGAATCCTAGGAAACTGTTAAAATATGCCAGCATTCTTCTAATCTGAGAGGCAAGCAACAGACTGTAAAAAACCTGCTGGTGAGAAGCCAAGAAGCATTAGGAAAACAAAATGCAGTGAGGTATTTTCTTGACTCACAGAGAAGAATTCATGCAGACAGAAGGCAGAAGACAAGGGCATGCCATGTCACTCACTTTCCTACTGCCTGAATTTGAAAGCAGACTAGACCAAAGCCCCATGCACACCACCCGCACCGATTCCACACCCAATAGGCTGTTGTCCTATCCTCAGCCAGGTACCTAACTATGAAGTAAACACTCTGGAGAGAACGCTAGTGATAGATCTAATTCTATCTGGTAGAGTTCTGCTAAAAATGAGAAGGGCTTAAAACCAGAAAATGAAGCCATATGCACAGGATTTAACTAGCCATACATGAGAACGACCAGCTCCCAGGTACAACCAGTTTAAATTCCCCCCTTGAGATATTTTTCAAGAAGAACAAGGCCAACAAAGTTCAAATTAGCACAACATTTGAATTTTCACCCCCCCACAATAAAGTATATAGGTCAAGAATATATAGCTTAGGACATATGTTAAAACAAACAGAGATAAAAGCAAAATATAGCAAGCCTACATCTACCAAAGCACACCATAAACTCATTTTATTATACTCATGGTAGTATAGTGAGTGTGGGTGGATAACCTTTTCTAGAGACGCCATCTATAAAACTTCAGTGATAAGCCTGTCATGAATTTTGTATTACTAAAAGTTTCCCTTTAATAAAAAGTTAAAGAAATCAAATGAATTTTTGGTTGATACCTTTTCAGAAAACAGGGAGGTGAAATAAAAATTTTGACTAAGTCAGCTTTAAAGTATCCAAACTAGTATTTAGCTTCAATATATTTTTTTTTAATTTCACTCATGGAAGCTATTAATACAGTGCGATTATCTTCTGTATTTTGTTTGAGCTTAAACTTCCTCAAGTAGGTAAAGACTAACATTATATCATGTTAAAACACAGTAGCAAGTTATAAGTTCTTTAGTTGCTTCCACAGAATCTTTCCACTCTCAGAATTATAAGAACTTAACAGCCTGCTGAATTCTGCAATTACCTATTTTAAGTCCTCCACTGGTTCATGATTTGGAAGAAGTCAACAAATGGATTACTTTTTATCTAGCACAAGGTGAGTTACAAAGAGTAAAGCAATATACTGATTGGATTGCCAGGCAGATCTATCCAGCCATTAAGTAGGTATATATTGGTTATTTCTCTGCATACAGTTCAGGAACCTCTACCAAATGGAATTCCCTTCATAGGACATAAAAATACCAGATAAGCTTTACAAAAGTTTGAATTTTGGGAAAAACACACAGGCTCATTTTATCTCCTCCCACCAAACAAAAAGAGAAATCTCCAGGACCACTGACAATTGGAAACACAGGATTGTACGTTATTTTCCACTCTGTGAAAGTGAGGCTTGACAAGTTCTGGGGTGTTGGGGAGTCATTTTATTTATTTATAATTGCCATCAATTGTGTTTTGCTTTTTTGGAAAGCCACAACTCAGGACATATTAATGTTCATAAGGAAGACAATTCAGAGTCTTTATGAAGTAGAGATTTAAAATTACATAAGATCATGTAATATCATGTGTCTTGCTGTTGTAACTGTGTTATAAAGATGAACATATTGGTGTGTCTCTGCAACGTCAGAGCTCATTGAATAATAATACATTTACAAGCCCTGGTATTTTTGTTGGGTGTGATTTGCCAAGCCATCTCAATTTCCCTTGGTATTTAGATGAGGAACATGGGTTCTTTTATTCCAATCTTAGTAATAATTATTCACAAATCATATAATACACATCATACAGACCTGTAACTATATGTTTAAATAATGTAGGTTACGAACTGGATAGTAAAATAGTAAAAATGTTGTAGCACAATTCATAGAATCTGCAGAGGTCTTGCAAGAGGCAGAAGCTGAAGCAGGGAGCTGATAGCATGTAGTCTTCTTGGACATTAGATAGGAAAGATGTTGGGGCATTGCTGAAGAGGCCAGGGTTAGTCCAAGTCACAGGGCTGGGACTGAGAAGAGCTGCAGAGGTAAGGTGTGAGACCATGAGGACAGCGAGATAGGTATAGGAGTGAGTCCAGATAGGCCTATCGGTAGCGACATATTTCAGTGAGTGGATCGGTGACAACTAAAGAAGGTTCAGTCAGCACAGTAGTGACTGGGATAAAGTCCAAGGACCAGTTGGAAGATTTCTTCTAATATCCCTTAAGGGACAACACACAGGATGATCAGATAGGTTAATAGATCTGACCCCATTGCTGTATTAAGTGGAGTCTTCTTTGTGAGATCCAGGTGACTGTGTTGCCATCTGTCATATTAAGTAAGGTCTCAGACCTGATTTTTCTTTATAGATTCATATGGCCAAGTGCCCACATGGTCCTAATCTAACTTGATAAGTTTATTGGGTGGTATCTTTTTACTTTGAGAGGAAATATCTTGTCCATCTGTGACTCATGAGTGGTGCAGGACAGATGGTGATATGATAAGTATGTGACAAGGTGAGGAGTCCCCCTGTCTTTGATTTTCATTCAAAATAGTACCAAAAATGCAAATCTTGAGAGTAGGCATGTCCCTTGTCCTCCAAACAGTAAAGCTCACCCTAAATCCTGGAACACAGGAACAGTCTAATCATAAGACTTGCATTTCAAACTCTATATCTAGCACTACCTTGTGTATCACATATGATTTTATTGATACAGCTTCAGCAAAACAAATGTAATCAATCTGATTTCAGACCAGTTACTATTTTTTCCATAACAATTTGGTTAAATTAAAATACATTCAGTGAAGGGCTGGAGAGATGACTTTGTGATTTAGAACTCATACTCTTACTGCAGGGGACCCAAGTCAGATGGTTGATAGCAGTCTCCTATAACTTCCTCTCAAGGGTGTCTGAAGCTTCTAGCCTCCAAAAGCACACACAAATACACACACACACACACACACACACACACACACACACACACACAGTCTCACACACCACACACACTCACGCACAGTCCACACACACCCTACACACACACACACACACACACACTCACTCACTCACACACACACACACTCTCACACACTCACACATACACCCTCACACACATACCCCTACATAAGGATAATAAAAAGATTCTTTTTTAAAAAGTCCCCAGTAAGCAGAAAGCCTTTTGTGTCCACTGAATGAGAGTCTGAGTAAAGAAAGTAAATTTGATACAGGGAAGAAGTGTCCTTAGATTCTCCCATCTTTCTCCCTCCTTTTCTCATTCCTGTTTCTACTAGCCTATATTTACAGCCAGGGTATGAACTGCAGATCAAGCACTGAAGCACAACATAGGTCTGTTCACAAGACACCTGCACCTTCACAAAAGCATTGCCTTGTGAATTTGAAAGCAATAACTAGCTTGTCATCAACCCAGACCAAGAAACTAAGACACTGACTTTCCCCTCTGAAAAGCAGGGGTAGGATAAATACTGTTTGTTTTAACGACTTATTCCAGAAACAACAACAAAGCATTGAAGTTCTGAGTCAGTGGTTATCAGCTGGGGCTTATTTTAGGGTGTTGTACATGGAGGCCCTCACTCAGAACCTGACCCACTGGTGCAGAATGCTTTAATAAGCACAATAAACTTAACAGCTCTTCAGGCGTTCTGACAGCTGGTGTCAAGATATTACTGAATGTATCTTGAAAATCTTACCTTTTTATGTTAACTTTTCTGGGTGAATCCTCACAATACTTCAAAGAAGACAGCAAGTTAACCTTAAAACTTCTGCACTCTTGGCCATGCTTTTAATGGCATGTGGTGGCACATGCTTTTAATCCCAGAACTCAGGAGGTAGAGACAGGCTGATCTCTGAGAGTTCGAGGCCAGCCTGGTCTACACAGCTACTCCCAGGACAGCTAGGGCTGTTACACAGAAAAACCCTGTCTCAAAAACAACAACAATGCCAAAAAACTGTACTCAAACTCACTCCACTTGGAGTTCTGGACAGTCATAGACACTCTG